GAGTGGATCACCAAGAAATTGTGAAGGGAGACTATGAAATATGGAAGGGAGACTATCAGAAAAGGAGCAGGGTGAGGGAGTAAAGGGGGTGGAAATGGACAAAACATGGCACGGGTGTGTACGGATATGAAGCCCATTATTCTATATAATTAATATGCACTAACTTAAAAAAATACATTTGGTGGGTTGAGGGGGATATATATGCTTGGAATAGCAACAAATATTTTTTTCAAAGAAAGAAATTAGCTTTTAAAGAAGCTTGTTCAGATGTCCAGAGGGTAACCTAATCATACTGTAATCATCATTCCCAAAGGAGCAGGAGATGGACAAGGGCACAAGCAAAAGAATAAACAGGGAAAGATGGCGAGATGGGGAAACCGAGACCCAGAGAGCCCCCAAGGTAGAGATAAATCAAAGGAAGAGCAGCAGATGAGCTTCAGATCMGGGCTCTGACAGAACAGTGGGAGAGTGTGATCTGCTGAGGTTGGGGCGTTGGATCACCATGCTGATAATSACCAGCAGGCTGTGTAAATGGCCTTTGAGAACAGAAGGCTCCATTCCACGAGGACCTTTCCAGCTCTGAAGACCTGCATCTCAAAAGGACATTTGTAGACGACTTTCCAGAGCACTCTTAAGGTTGCTAAATTTAACTTGAATTTACTCTTGTAAACCTGGGCCTTTGATTTCACTGCCAAGGTTTTCTTCTGAACAGCTGTATTGCTATTGACTCTTTCTCCTTTTTGCTTGTATTCAGGAAGCCCTGGTTTGTTTTGTTTTGAAAGTCTTGGTTTTCTATCTCTTGTCAGTTTTCATTAATCAGTTTTGTGTGGGGATGCGGGATGGCCCAGGGCTCCTGTGTGCTAAGATGTGCTCTATCACAGAGCTGCAGCCCTTGCCTGTGCCCTTCTCACTTTTAAGGTTAGACTTAGGGCATTTCCTGGAAATAAATCAGCACAGGACCTAAAGACTGACTACAGAAAAGGAATAGGAGGCCTGCAGTATTCCACCTCCACCAGATGCGAAGTAACTTCCTAAAAGTCCCGGAAGATCTCAAGGTCCTTCAGATCTCTTTTTCTRTGTGCTACTTTCTTTTGTTCTGTACTGCAGTTTCTATAGTTCCTAAGTTGGGTTTGTTGTTCTTTTTCTTGAATGTTCTTGTCCAGAGAGAGGGTACAGAGATGTCAACCAGTTTGCTCTGGGGCAAGGGTCACTTCTTTTTCAGAGACATAGCTGGAGGGTATGGTGATACCCCATCGATCCTGCCTATTCCCAATAAGGCTTTGCCACTTATTCACTGTGCCTCTTGGGTGAGCGTCTCAGCCTTTTCAGCCCAGGCTCTCCCATCTGCAGAGGAAGCTAATGAGATGTGACCTCACAGGGCTTGGTAAGTCCTGGGCCTCCTGCAGGGCACTCATTACCTGTGGGCACCAGCGGTTAGGGCACTACTGTCCCAGGATCAGCTGTGTTCCTGGGACTCCACTCCCCACACTGCAGGTCTGGTGTGCTCTGGAGCTCCACTCCCAGGACAGGCCCCCCTCACCTCTGCCTCCCTTGCTTCGCACTCACTTCCTCCCCAGCCATTTGAAGGAGCTGCTGACTCAGACTGTTCCCAGCAGAGTGGCCTTGAGGTCTCGAGGGGACAGCACCACTGGGCACAGCAGAGGGACCCATATCTTGCTACCTTGTGGTCCTGTGCTGGGAGAGGTGGAGCCTCTTTTTCAATCACAAGATCTTAATGGGACAGGGAATGGGCTGCCACCCCAAGACCTGTTGGCCAGATGCCAAGCCATCATAGCCTTGGAACACAAAGTGAGGGGCCAGCCCAGGCAAGGAGGGCTCAGGTCTCTTCTCTTCATGCCTTTTTGGTAGTGAAGAAAAATCCCTGCAGTGAAACCCTGCTCTCAGCTTGGGTTGGCTTAGGGAGTACCATAGTCTCCATTTAYACACACTTAGGTAGGTAGGACAGCTGAGGCTAAATTATCTCCCCAGGAGTGCCACGACTAAAGCCAGAGATGGTGAAGAAAACTGCTGAGATGATATCCTCACCATGTTTCCAGGCAAACTCAAAACATGTATGAGAAGATGTGCATGCTAAACCCCACAGYATTAAACAAGGTTATATTATATCTTTTTTGGGGGTACTGGGGATTGAACTCAGGAGCACTCAATCACTGAGCCACATCCCCAGCCACATTTCCACACCCTCATGATCCTCCTGCCTCAGTCCCCTGAGCCACTGGGATTACAGGCACGTGMCACTGGGCCCGGCTTATATTATACCTTTAATGACCGAGTTTTAATAGTGTATAAACATACTATTCTCCCCATTAAAAGTTTAGCAGCTTTCATATTAATGAGGTCAGAAGCAGCATAAATAATAAAATAAAACAAGCAATTCATAAAGATTTTGTAGTTGGCCGGTTGAGGTGGCTCATGCCTATCATCCCAGCAGCTCGGGAGGCTGAAGCAGGAGGATCTTGAGTTCAAAGCCAGCCTCAGCAATATAGGAAGGCTCTAAGCAACTCAGTGAGACCCTGTCTCTAATAAAATACAAAATAGGGCTGGGGATGTGGCTCAGTGGTTGAGTGCCCCTGATTTCAATCCCTAGTTCCAATAAATAAAATAAAATAGAATAAAATAAAGATTTTGTGGTTGCAATGTAATCAGGTTCCTGTACTCAGCCAAAATGGATGCCCTCAGACACAGCTGACACCCTATCTTGTGCCTGTCTGAGTTCCCAGGAGGGATGGGCATGGCTGTACCATGAGTAGAGTGTGCCTATGAAGCTGCCATTAGAAACATCTAAAACATCAGTAACAGTAGCAGCAATACTCTCTGCCGACATGCTACCAAGAGGCACCAAGTCCAGTTTAAAGCAGCAAGTTGTAGGTGTTTCCATGGACATTTCCAAGGCTCTCAATATATGAGCAGAACAAGCTCTGACAGCTGTGGGGCTGTATCTGAACCATTAGTCATAACATTAAAACATGGAAAACTTTTTTTTCCCAGCAAATAAGGCCATCTGTCCTACCAATGTACTATGTACAGGGCTAAAATGGTAAAAACAAGCATAAGCTCTTTTCTCTCAAGTCAATGAGTTGTGTAAATTTGGTGATTTTTTTTCCCCCAGTACTGGGAATTGAATGCAGTCTCGCTACATTGCGGAGGTTAGCCTGGAACTTGCGATCTTCCTCCCTTAGCCTCTGTGCAGCAACCATTATAGAAATATCAATAACCTGATGAATAATTTTTGACTCAGAATAACTATGTAAGCTACACAAAATTTACACCTCCCTGACCCCAACTCAGTCTTCATGGCTCTGCATTACTTTTACTRCTGCCTGGGGCTGGAAATTGGAAACTTTCATCTTAGTGATTCTTGATCTGCCTTAGACTCCATAAGGTGRATGGGCTTGGTCAGATGGGGTTTCCTCAGTTCAGATACCAGGTGGAGCATGGATGGATGTCAGAGGGTTTGGGATCTGTGGCTTTCCTCTTCTAGCCATAGTCTTGTCGAAGTATGCGGTGGAAGTGCAGCTTGGGGAAAGAATGACAAAGCTTCCTGAGAGAGGCTGACTCTTAGGGACGGCCCTGGGCCAATACATTCAAGGCTCTTCTCGGTGTCTGCCTAGGCCTTGTGAACTGCAGAGAATCTTTAAAACGGGCAAGGCAGTGCTGCTTAGGGAAGTTCTTTTAAGGGTAACTAGAAGTTTTAAACTATTAACATTTAATTTTTATCTAGTATACTAGAGAAAAGTTCAATGAGACCTTTCTCCTTGGTGCATATTATTCAATGCAGCAGTTAAAATAATTTTATTAGAGGCTTTTTAAATGTTTGTTACAATTCAGTAAAATTTTCATCTTAAAATATTTACTATTTTTGTCTCCAAGTAATACAAAGTAAATAAGATCCCTCTACAAACCAATTATTTTTTACTCTACCTTTATTTTTCACTAAATGCAAAGAAAAATAAATTGATTCATCTCATCAAGAATGCATTATTATTAGAATTGAACTTTTATGCTTACTAATCATTTACCAAAATTCATAACATATATATTTTATTTCAAATAGTAGAATAGCAATAACTACTGTAATAATTCAATCCACAAGAACTTTATCACATAATGCATGTTTTTTTACAATTATAAAAGRCCTTAAAGTAACAATTTTATTTTGTAAGTACCAATATTTGTAACAGACTTATTATTTTTACAGTATAGTTTGCAGCTATTTAAATTTATAATTAAATATATTAGCTATCATTCTAAAAACAGTTTTTAAAAGACAGTTTTTGGTACATCAGCAAAAACACTGCCTCATGACTCTGAAGAGAACCTGTGGGGTGAATCCTTAGCTAATCAGTACTGTTAAGTAAGGTGGGAATTCCTTTTTCTCTAGCTCACCAAAAGGACATCTCTCCCTTTTCATACTGAGCATTGTGTACCAGTAGGAAAAATAAAAGTTTCCAGTTCTGAGATCCTTTGAGATTTCAGCTTAAACCTCAAATATACTACTTTAAAAGTCTGGTAAAAGAGGATGGGAGCTCCCCTTCCCTGGGCTTTAAGAAATCCTGCTTTAAATCAGTGAAAAGAAGTAGTCACTTGAATCTTGGCAGTGACCTTAATTCCCTAGAAAAACAAGGTTCTGGGTAGAAAATTACAACTGTAGAACTCATTGACTTACGAAGACTGGAGACAGAGGGCATCTCTTTAGATTTATGTGTCAAAACACGTCGAGCCCGCTTGAGAGAAAGAGTGGTTTATCTGGCCATGGTGCAAACCCAAAGCCAGGTTTTCATATCATCCAGCAAACAAATGCCTTTCCAGTGTTAAGTCCTTTCACACAAACRTCTTGTGAAAGTATCTATTTAAAGATACTTTCATATTTAAAATGCCTTAATTTCTAATTATATATTAATTATTGACTTTGAATGAACTCTAAGAATAACTAATAGTAATAAATAATCATACAAGCTATATATAGTACTATATGTTAATAAAGGGTATTCACTAAATTTTTAATGGTGAATGGAATGAAGCTCTTTCATTATTTTCTTGATTCAAGATATGTAAAGAAGGTGACATCATGAGATGAACTGGATGATGCTTACGAGCAGATTAGCAGAAGGCCTTGTTTACAYGCAGATTTGAAGTGGAGAATTGGAACTGAATTCCCAAACAGCCACTGTTTGTTCTGCCTTTAAAATAAATTGCTCTAGATGTAATTCTGCAAGTTGCAGTATTACATTCAAATGTTTTAGAACTACTTTCAGGAGAATAATGGTACTATGCTATTTTCTTCATAATTCTAATGTTATCTAAGCACTCTGTTTCACAAGTCTTAAAACACAGATAACCAAACATATGCTGTTGTTGATACCGGTGATGAGAATCAGAGTGGAGTCCCATTTCTCTGATGTGAAGATTGAACACCCRAGAAACACCGAGGCAAGTGTAGAAAGCAAGTTTTATTTAAAGGATACAATAGCGATAGACTTCTCCAAAGAGCTGAGTGTCTGAGGAAGTGGGGGTGTCCTGCCCCTTTTATACCTTTTAGATTTCTTTTGTTCTCATGTYTTTCCTCCCCCATCCTGACTATGTGACTAGTGACCATAGGGTGGGCCAAAAGGTAGAATGATCCAAGGGCAGGAACAAAACCACCCAGGGGTATCTGGTATTGGCAGGAAGGAAGTGGACCAGAGAACATTAATTAATAACCCCTTGCAGGGAGGAACAATTCCCTGGAGGCAGGCTACCTTGGCAACAGGTGGAAGAGGGTTAAGGCCTCTGGAGGTATTAGCATTTTACTCCCTTTCCTTTTGAACCTGCCCCTGTCTTCCCCATGACCCTACCATTCATTGCCTACACTGACTGTCCTTTTGTCCCCCTCTTGGCCTCAACATAACATTGAAGTTTAAGATTATTCAGTGAGTTGCCAGTGATAGAAACAACTAATGGTTTAAACAACTAACATCAAATCTCTAGCTCTGTTCAGGGCCAGAGTCTTGGGTGCTGATGGAAGATATTCTAGGTTCTTCTGAATGGAAACGGACTTCCTTTTGCCACCAGATTTCTGGGAGATTTACCGATTCCCAATGACAGGGTAGAAAGGCAGAATGTGAGTGCCCACGTGTTAGATGTCAAGCAAGGTTAAAGTAAATGAAAATACTGTTTTGTTGAGCCATGGAATCAGTTCGCTGATACAGAAGTGGAACATAACAACCTTATTGCAGATCACGATTCTGTTCTCAGAGTGCTCGGTTACAGAATCACTCACTGTAAAGCAAGAGCCTGACAACAAACTGAGGAACCAGGCTTTGCATCGCTAGTCTGCACCTCGCTGTAGAAAAGCTACGCGTAAATCTACTAATCCAAATATGGCCACCATTGAGGGAAGAAAYCCATTGTAGCCCCACAGTTCCTGAAAGGGGTGCTGTAGCTGCGAGACTGAAGCCGCAAGACCCCTGGTCACAAAGCCACCACCCCAGGCACTCCTCAGTGCTGTCACCAGCTTCTGCCTCTGCCTTATGTCACTAGCACTTGTGATTGAAATAAGCAAACAACAGGTCAGAGACAAGGAGGTAAGGAGCATGGTCCTGGCATTTCACAAGGTGGTATCAGAGATGCACCAACATCTCTTAAGAAATACAAAATTTATTTTAAAGTTCCTTAGGAAAAAAAATCTAACTAGCAAATCAAACCCAAACTCGTTACTGTGGTTATTCTTCCTTATTAAATTTCCTTCTGATGGAAATTTAAGTTTAAAAAAGTAAGCACCCTTAAAGAAAARCACTACACATGCACAGGTGCTACTAATAACTCACAGTGAAAGCTTGGAAAGCTCTTGTGAGGTGGAAAGACTGAGCTCAGTGACAGGCGGTTCTGTCATCAAGTGCTGCACTGCCTTAGGCAGTGCCAAGCTCTTTGGGCATCCACCTCTTATGTTAAAGAGATGGTGAGGGTGACCTGTTGGTCCATCCAGGGCCCCCATCCTGTAAGCCGTGCTCACTTGTTAAATGCCTTTACCAAGAGCAACAATCTCAAGTTAGTATCAAACTCTAACACGAATGCTGTCCTTGAACAAGTGGGGATATTAGTGGATCTCATGTGGATTTTTTTTTGGGCGGGGAGTTTAAAATACTCTATTGGTAGGTCATACTAATTCTTTGAAAGACTGAAGATAAACATAATTTTGCTTGGTGACTCTACCCTTTATACACATGGGATAGATCCCAAATAYCTTTGTACTCTCTCATCAATGGAGTAGCCAACTAGGAGACATTTTATACTATATTTCATATTGCTATTATTCTAATATGTGAGGAGGTGGTTTGGATGTCCATGGAGGACTCCAGTCAGAGGAAAATAAGTTAATTTTTTTAAAAAAAGAAAATATGGGAAAAAAGATAGATGAATATTAGTCGAAGGTAAAGAATTATGTTTTAAGACCAGGAGGAGCCTGAAGCCTTAAAATAACTTAAAACAGCTCATCTGGTTTCTGGTTTTACTTTTTCACTCTGAAAACAGAAAGTGTGTTACCAGTTCCCATTTTCATGGGTAATAGAATTTGAATCCCAAGTGCGCTCTGTTTCCTTTACTAAGCCACCTCCACAACGTTCTCCACGGCTGGAGGATAAGCATTTGATCAAAACCTGACTGCGTGCCAACAGCATTACATGCAGAAAATTTCTACCCAGGATTATTTTCATGGCCCAGGCTTCTTAAAGTAAAGAAAACTCCCTGTCCTGGAGTTGAGATGCCATCGATGGCCCTGGACGGTCCCACCACTTAGGGAAGACCCTCCTGGAATTTTTCCATCATTACTTCTGACCCAGCTGGAACAGAACCCACTAACCAGTGGGCTGCAGGGTAAAGGACAGGTTCTTCAGAWGAACTAAATATTTTGGAAATCATCTAATTAAGGACTAAAATGCTGTCTTTCTCTATTCTGAGTACTTCTATATATATTTAACCTATTTAGCTCAACAAACACACACTAATAAAACCAATGTCATCTATTTTGGGGGAAAATGTCTACTTGTAATAGTGTTAAAAAAAAAAAAAGGAAGAAAGAAAAGATGCTACGGGTGACAATGTGTTCCCTGTGACCTCCGAAGTAGAGCACATTTAAACATAAATACACGGGCTTCTCTGTTGGCCTTCTGCAGTATCAACAATTTCTTTATCGGTTGTGATTTCAAAGACCTCTTGGGAAATGTGACTTCACAGCGTTCTGTCCTCCGACAGCCTACTGTTAGCTGTTCCTGTAGACATGCTTGATCTTGGCCTCCGTGGGTGCACAGCCTGGGCCCMTGGAGGGGTGCCTGTGCCCTGTGCAGAGCTCCTGTTTTGGGACCAGTCACTGCCGACTCAGCCTCCTCCAAAGAGTGGCAGCCAGCCTCTGTGAGGACGCTCGGGCCCTGGGCARCTGCTGCTGGGTGAGCGCAGGAACACTGGAGCTGATGGCCCTGCTGGGCTTACCTGCGGGTGGGGAAATGGAGCGTCTGGACGCTCCGGGCGCACTGGGGGTTCTAGGGGTTCTGAGTCCTCGTCCAGCGTGCAGTACTGCACGGCTGCTGTCCCTTCGGTCACCAGAGGCTGGGGCAGGGAGGTTCGGGCTGCCTCTGCTGAGGGAGCACAGTGGCCGTGGCAGGCTTCCGCTGAGCTTCCTCAGCGCCAGGAGCTGTTCCCGGGCTTGGCTCAGGGCCTGCGTCAGCTCAGAGCGCTCTTCACACTCTCTGCGCACGGTTTCCTGAAGAAAGGTATTCTGAAAAGAGAAGGGAGAGCAGCCCTGGCTTCAGACAATGCGCAGACTTGTGATGCTCACAGTCAGAGGTCTGTGCTCACATCGGGCGCAGCCACAAAGTGCCCTAGGAGAGCACCTGGTCCAACCCTTGCCATCTGCAGAAGAGCAACCAAGAGTCAGGGACCAAGAGTCTGAGTGGCCCTTGGATGGCAGTGGTGGGTCTGGGGACAGAGCCTAGGCCTTCTAACACCCACGGTAGTGGATTTTCAACTTCTGTGTCTTTGATTTCAGACAGTATGTTCTGCAGTGTGATGTCTAAGAGTTAAATCCATACGATCATTAGAGACATTCAGTGAAGGTATGCTGCAGCACGTAAGACAAATAGATAAAATTGCTTGGATTTTAAGTCAAAAGAATAAAATCTATCAGCTATAGTATTTAAACAATAAAATCAGTTATTTATATGATACTTTCTTAATGAATTTTAAATTTAGATCATTTGCCATTCTATAAGATAGTATCACAAAATAAAGAATACTATCTTCTGTTTTTAACTCCAGTCAGCAATCATTTATCAAGTTACTAGAAGTTGTAATGGGTACAGTCTATATCAGTCAGTTTCATGTTACTGTAACAAAACACTCGAGATAATTAACTTATAAAGAGCAAAGGGTTATTTTGGCTCATGGTTCTGATGGTTTCAATCCAAGATCAGCCTATTGCTTTGGATCTCTAGCAAGGGTGGTACATCACTGTAGCAGTAAACAGGTGTAAACAACAGTAAACAGGAGTAAACAGCTGAAGTCATTAGCCAGGAAATAGAAAGGGAGGACCAGTTGAGTCCCACRCACCTTCTGAGAGCATCGTCCAATGACCTAAAGACCTTCCACAATGTCCTATCTCCCAAAGGTCCTACCTCCTCCCAATAGTACCAACCCTGGGGAACCAAGCCTTTAATACATAGGCCCTAGGAGATATCACCACCCAAACTATAGTACGGTCCTTGCCCTCAAGAAGTTTGCTGCCTGATAAGTTTTTTTTGTCCCTTTTTATGTCCCTAAGAGAGTTGGGACACAAGGGTATAAGTTTGGAGCTTAAATAAGGAGACTTTTTAAAGTCTCCTTATTTAAGTTAGAGAAAGTTAGAGCTGTCTGGATGACATCTGGAAAGTTGATTTCACTTGGCAAGCCACATTCAAGCTTGAGATGTGTAGCTGCACTAGACAACAGCAAGTCTCCTTCAAATCCTGAGATTCTACATGTCGAGTTGAGTAGTTACTCATCTTTCACCTCTGGAGTTCATCAAAATTCCTTCAAAGCCCTGGTAAAGATAGGTCTTGTGTCTCCCCAGTATCCCGACATTCACATCTGCAGGATGTTAAAACAGAGGTGGGAAAATAAGCAATTCAAAGTAGTCCTAATAAATGCACAATTAAAATGACTGCACTATAGAATTTATCGACTCAGATGAATTTCCAGGAGGTGAGCTTGTTTGTGAATGCAGTCCAGGCATTTCCAAGTCAGACTCTGGGTGAAAAAGATCCTCCCTAGGGGTTGGCTAACTCCCCTGCTGTCAGGGGGACTCACACAAGAGCAGCAGGGAGAGCAGCAGCTTCCTGGATCAGAGTTTCTGTGATTATGGACAGAAGTCTACTCAACTCCAAATTTGGTAATCAGAATAGAAGAACATGGAGCAATTCCAGATGAGCACAGCAGTTTTCTATAAAATTAGTGGCATGTCTCCGCACTTGCATATAGAATTTACAAATAAATGTGATCCATGTCTTCATGTACTTTTTCAAAATCATGGGCTTAAAAAAATCATGGGCTAATCATTTGTTTCCAGTTATTGCTCTTTTGTATTTTTGGAAGAACCAGAGACCACTGCATGTGGCTTTACTGCCTGGCTTTCACTCACTGTACCTGAAATACTGCTGAAAGGCAGGGAAGGGGTGGACAAGATGAATACGCTGCTGTCAGCTGTCATTTTATTTACTGCTCCCAACACTTACATTTGCCAAAGAAAGGCAATGCAGCTCAGACTGCCTTTGCAACTCCCTGAGAGCACCCCAGATATGAAGTGGTGGAGCCCTGCCTGGCCCCAGAGCGCTGCTTCACACTGCCTGCAGGGGCCCAAATTAGTTGTCTGATTCATTGTATCAAGCAGGCAGGGTCCACTTTGTTCCCTTGAAGGAATAAATGTAAGACATTTCTTTTTCTTTTGTCCAAGTGTTTGAAACTATGTTGATCTAATTTTTTATTTTAAAGTTAAGAGAAACACTCCAGGTGCCTCATGCTTCTTATCTTCTACTGGAACAAGMTGGCAAAACGTGTCCAAGTGTTTAYACCGTTGGTAGGAATGAAAATTAGTACAGCTTCTATAGAAACCAGTGTGGAAGTTCCCTGAAAGACTAGAATTGGAACTACCATATGGCCAGCTATGCCACTCCTTGGTATCCATCCTGAATGACTAAAGTCAGCATTCTGCAGGGATACCTACATTCCCAGGTTTACAGCAGCACAAATCACAACAGCCAAACTGGTCAATGGATGAATAGATAAGGAAAATGTGGTATATATACACCAAGGAGTTTTATTCAGCCACAATGAAAAATGAAATTATGTTATTTGCAGGAAAATGGATGGAACTTGAGAACACTATGTTAAGCAAAATAAGCCAAACTCAGAAACTCAAGGGTCATATGTTTTCTCTGAAATAGAAAAAGGAAAGAAAGGTGAGGCAGGAATCTCAGGTAAAATGGAGGGAGATAGAAGAGTGGAGGAAAAGGACAGGGGAGGGAGGAGGGACAGAGGGATGTTGGGGAGGGACACTGGCCCAATTATATTGTTACATAGCGTGCATGTATGAATATGTAACAGCAAATGCCACCGTTATGTGCAACTATAATGCACTGACAAAAAGAAAATGGAAAAAATGTGTTGAAGTGATCAGAGTTATGGCTTTTAGTGAGTTAGGATAAAGAAAACCACAAGAAATATATTTTATTAGAATAAATAAAAGAATACTATGGGTAGCAGCAAACGACAAGGTCAGAGAATCGTTGACATGAATGACAGGTGCCATTACATAAGAGAACCGAGGTGGGGGAAGTGATGACAAGAGCTTTACTTCAAGAAGAGCGAAATTCAGCCAATTTGCTAAAATTAAAGTCTGAAAGGGGAAGGGAACAATGCCCTAGAAAACATCCGACTGTGAGGCCCATAAAGCTGTCCTAGGCAAGTGACAAGGAGAAAATGGAGAGGTGGAGTGGATGGGCATGTCCCCAGGGGCTGGCATGGCTGGCACCGCGGGCTGCATGCAGGCCCAGCCAGACCACCCTGTAGCTCCTGCCAGCCCTGGGGGGCCATCCAGAGGAGCACAGGGTGTGGCTGGGGCAGGGGAGGGCTACCCAGCTCCATGTGGAGCCTCTGCCCTGGAACTCATCCTTCTTCGAGGCTACTATTCTTGAGAACGAAGGATTAATTCTCTTTCCTCTAGTATTTTCCAAATCAGGAAGACCTTGGAACTGAAAACACCATGAAATCTTACGTGGATCTCATAATACCTTCATATCCTATGCTGCTGCCAACACCTCCTCTAAAATTGAGATCACAACTCAGTAGTGTCCAAGAGGCAGTTCAGAGGTTATATTTGTTCAATCACAGGGCAAATAAAATGGAAATGGAGCACATGCAAGTTTAGGAGACTGCTGTTTCAGGAGTGGAGTGACAGGGTGGAACAACAAGACATGTGGATATGGCCAGAGTCAGTGACACATCAGTGGAAAATTCCATCATCCAGGAAAAGAATCATCACCGTGGTTAGATTTTTTTTTTCCTGCAATTTAGGCAGGAGGAAGGCTGGCGCAGCATTTTAATTTGTGTTTTTACCAACAACGTCGGAAACCATGTTCGATAGAATATGTTCCATAAAACTGAAAGCTRGCTGGATGCAGTAGCGCACGCCTGTAATCCCAGCAGCTCAGGAGGCCGAGGCAGGAGGATCATGAGTTCAAAGCCAGCCTCAGAACTCAGCAAGACCCTGTCTCTAAATAAAATATAAAAAAGGCTGAGGGTTAAGTGTCCCAGGTTCAATCTCAGTACCAAAAACAAAACAAAAGAACCTTGAGAACTGCAGGCYCCGTGAGAACCACAGGGCGGCCGTCACACTCTGTGTGTTCTCAAGAAAGCTGTCTGGTCATGTTTTACCACAGCAAGGCCAAAGCATATGGCTGGAGTGCAGCTGAATCCCGAAGCGGAAGTGAGAGGGGGGCTTAGGCCAGGTGCAGGCCAGCGGTCTCCAGGCAGAGTGGGCAGCAGGTGCCAATGCTGGGTGAGAGGCACACATTGCGGTGAAGCATGGCTCAGTGTGACTTGGGCAAGCACACAGCAAGGCCAGGCCAGGACAGAGGCAGGGAACAGCCAGCAGGCCAGGTCCTGAAGGGACTCGGCAAACTGTTAACCCTAGAGCCGTGACTTTGTCCCGAGGGTCACGTGCAGTCAGGGAGAGGCTGACATCAAGCAGGGATGGATGCGTGGAAGGAAGACCCCTTCCAGCTCTGTGGGAAATGGCCTGAGAGGYGCAGGGTGGGAGGCAGGGACGCAGGAGCTGCAGGTTTTCGTGCAGAGGTTCCTTCCTAAGAGACCCTGGATTAGGGTGGTCTAGGGGAGAGTGAAATTCCTGGGTCCTTAGACTCTGCTGATCGGTGGCCAGCATAATTGACAGATACCGTGGTAACATTTCCAGATAAAGGCTATGATGAGCTTAAAATATGGCTTAATTGCACTCCCACTGAGTAGGTAAATGTCAAGATGAAAATATAAATTAGCTCACCATCTGTTTTAAATTTCTAATATTAAAAAATGGCCAATCTCCCCCACTCTTGGCAGTGAAAGAGTAGTTTATTTTTATGTTTGTTTTCATTTTTATCCTTAGAGACAGCTGGGTTTCTTTCTATTCCAAACACAGTGGAAGAGGCACGAGAAGGCTTAGTGGGGTAACTCGATCATCCTGAAGGTGAG